TAGCTCGTCGAGGGTCTTGGGAAGATCTAGGGAGTAAATCTCGTCCTGAAGACGATCCGAAAGGCCATGAAGGAACATGTCCCATTGAGCCTCCGCGTTCCAGCCGGATTCAGCAGCCAACGTGCGGAACTCAATGGAATAGTCCGCCACGCTCCGATTCCCCTGGCGGAGCTCAGCGAGGACTCGAGCGGCCTCTCTCCCAGAGGCGGCCCGATCAAAGACCTTTTTTAGTTCCTTTGAGAACAGGTCGAACGAAGAACAACAGGGTAATTTCTTCTCCCATGCTGTGGTTCCCCATTGAGCCGCCCTTCCTGAAAGGAGAGTGATGACGAACGCCACCTTGGCCTGCTCTGAGGAAAACAAAGATGGCTGCAGGGAGAAGTACAGGGAGCATTTGGCTAAGAAGGACCGGCATAAGTGAGGCTCCCCAGCATAGCAGGTCGGCGGAGGAAGGCGAGGCTCAACTGAGCGACCAACGCCCAAGTCAGCACTGGCAGTCACCGGCGCAGGTATCACCTCCGGAGCTGGTGCAGGCTCCCCTTGTGTTGTTCCGGAAATCAGCTGTTGGACCTGCGTAGTGAGTAACGACACCTGACCAACCAAGGCCTGGATAGCCTGTGCAGTCGTGGCTAAAGCCTCGTCCTGGCGATCGATCCTGGCGTTGCTAGCAGTAAGGAACTCCGATATCTGAGAAGTACTCGCTGGATCCATGGTAAAGGTCAGTTCGTTTTGTCACGCTCAAAATAAATGTTCGGGTGGATCCAATAGCGAGTGAACAAAGTAATTTATTAAACACAGTCAAACTCAAAAAAGGCAGGATGTAACAAAAGAGTGAGGTGCTAAGGCTAGGGGAACAGGACAGGAATCGAACAGGAAATCAGGCTCTAGCAGAAGCTCCTCACGGTCCTGAGCACAGACAGAGAGACACACATGAGCACACGTAACGAACTGACAATGAACATTAAACACGTAGCACTTAAATAGTCACGATGATGTAATTCAGCTGGCGAAAAATCAATCCAGCGGAGTGACGTAAGGCCACGTGACCAAAACAACACACGTGGGCCACAAAAGCAAAACAAACCCACATGATCACACAGACATTCCGGAAGAGCGCACAAACCTGCAACCGTGACAGGTTCCTTCTCATTTCTCTAAGCATCTTGTGTTTTGTTCTCTTTGTAGTGTAGGACTATATTGGCAGATGAATACAACTGCTCTTTGGACTTGATTTTATGCCCAAAAACTGCCTCTGTGTTTCAGACCAACGCTGAGAGATGTTTGCCAGGGTCCATTCAGTTGTTTTTTAATGCAATTTGGAGGCTGTTACAGTGAACTCAACCTAAAGCTGTTCAGTTTCACAACAAAAATTCAGTTTTAAAAAGTATTTAATCCAAGTAATCAAAGTACATCAAAGTTTTAAAGTAATTCCTTTTATTCATATCAGGTCGGTCTTGTGCCTGAACACCATGCCAGTGTTGGCAACCACGGTAAACCACATTCCCTGAATGTCAGTAAAGGAGTCTGTCCTGCTGTTTCCCTGGATAGTGTATGAATGTTTGCAGTGGTGGCTCCTACTTGCCAATTCATTTAGAGTGGCATTTGCTTTCACTGGTGTTCAGATAGATAATGGGCATGAAATGGACACAACTGATAAAGAGGTCTGTCTCTGCAAAGTTGTAGAAAAACTCTTTTGCAGGGTTTCGCGGAGATCTAAATATACACAACTGCTTTTAAATGTTTTGTTTTATATATAAACATGTGCTACAACAAACACCTCTGGCTATATTCAGCATCTGTGCTGCATTCTAAACTGCATAAATGCAACTCAAATGGGCAATTTTAAGTAAGAACAATGGACTTGTGAACACTAGATTCTTTGTCTATGTGTAATGTGTGATGCAGATAATGCAAACCTGCATTTAAAGGAACTTTTTTGACTTCAAAAGTCTCGACTAAACCCTTCAAAAGGATTTCTAGCATAAGATCCTGGCGGGGGAATGGGAGGAAAAACTCAAGTTCTACACACATTTTACATTTTTGAACCCCATGATCCATGTCATGTGTGGAAAAATGTCAAAGCAAAACAATAGGAAAGTAGTGCAATGAAACGGAAAAAACGTTCTGTGTGAATGGCCCCTTTGTTATCACAATGGAAATCTGCTATTAAAGGGCCATGACACCCCCCCACTTTAGGTTAAAGTCTACTTCAGAATTTTTTCAAAAGATGCATGATTAATGGGCGTGGAGCTCCGCAAGCATCGAGCAGGAGTGGGCGTGGCCAGCAGGGGAGAACGTGAGCGAACAACTATTGATGTCAGTTAGCTCACAAAATGAGACAAACCGTGAGGAGATGCATGAGTTTATAGTTTACAAAGTTAAAATGCAAAGAAATGAACAGTGATTTAGTGCCCTGCTACATTTGTTATTCGTAATTTCATATACAGACAACCACAATTTATATAATTATAAAGATAAGTGTGTTTATGTAAACCCTATAAATGAGGACTTCTCCCTCAATCCCCGTATCCAGCAGACTCAGTGCAGCAGGTCTCCTGACTTGTCTATTTTAACCATTAGTCCTGCTGGTAATCTGGAGGATTTAGGCAAACACAGCAGCACTGTGAAGTGTCTGAATGTGAACGAACTCCTGATAAAAGACAGCGTCCGCCATTCTCTAATTCTCGTGCTGCTCTCCTGACAAAAATGCTTGCAGCACACACACAGCTTTGCTGTATGATCGGCCCTGACAAGATCGCGGGGGAAAACATGCAACAAACCCCGTGGATCATGGAAACAAACGTATATGAGCCTTCATGAACGGCTAAATACTGTGTGTCCGTGCCGTGGGTCCGTGACGTGTCTCACAGCTCGGGCTTGACTCTGGTAGGTCTGGCAGGTCTCATGAATAATTAAGCAGCCGGCTCTTCTCATATTCAGGCTCCGCGCTAAATAATAATGAGAAACCGACGCGTCATCATTGCACTTGCAGTACTGCGCTACGTCGCCGATTTTGATCCCGCCCTAAAAATCATTTTAAACCCGGAAGCTGAAATTAGCTGACAAAAGCTCAAAATTATCCAGTTTTCCCCACAATTAAAGCTGACAGGTGCTTACATTGTCTTAACTGATGCTCAACACACACAAATCTGTTAATATATTAAAAAAAAAGTTCTCCGGGGTGTCCTGAACCTTTAAATGTATAACAGACAACCTGCTCTGACTTTACATTAGGGAAAATTATATACTGAGAGTTTTTTTTTCACCAAAATCTTTATGTTTATTGTTTTAAACACTCACCAGCACCTTTTTAACTTTAAAATGATTTGAATTCATAATACAGGAAATTCAACAAAGTGCCGAAAACATAACAAATGTTTAAAGATTGTGGTTCATATTAACATTCAGTTCCTGCAGATTCTTCACTCTTATGAATTAAGGATTAACTGTGGACACCATTTGAGTATAGTAAACTATTGTCCTGTTCAGAAAAACTGTTTGCGCTTTGTGACACATGGTGCAGTATCATGTTAGAAAAACACATCACAAGATGGATACACTGTGGCCATAAAGAAAACAGGCTTAAGCCTAACCTTTGGTATTGTACTACACTCAAAAAAATGACGTTTGCTGTTTGTTCAAACTACTTAAATGAAAATGACCTGAAACAACACAAATCTTGAGATTATTTGGGACAACATAATTGTTTTATGTTCAATCTACTTAAGTAAAAAAAAACAACGACGAATAAGTTAACTAAATTTCTTCATGTTTTCTGAACACAAATCGAGTGTGTTGATCGCATTTTTTTCACAGTGTATGGGGCCAAAAGTGTCAAGACTATATCCTTCACACCATTACACCACCACCATCCTTAAACAGCGAGCCTAACATCCAATGGTTACTTCAGAATTTGAGCGCAGTTACCAATTTTTCAGGCCTGTGTTGTTTAATTCCAATGAATTGTTTTATGTGCTTATAGCTGGAATGGAAGCGATGTGCTCTTCTTCTGTTGGTTGTTGCATGTTCATACAGTTGATGATCTTCTGCAGATCTTAGTTGCAATGAGTGATTATTTGAGTTAGTGTAGCATTTCTAGTCTGTTTATCCTCCTCAGACCTCTGGCATTAACAAGGCATTTTCGCCCACAGAACGACCACACACTAGATGCTTTCACACACTGGATCTTACAGTTCTCTGCAATCTTACAGATGGTTACGCATGAAAATCCCAGCAGTTCAGCAGCTTCTGGAATACACAGGTCAGAGTGTCTGGCACCAACAACAACGCCACATTCAAAATCATTTTTTTTGTCCTCTGATTTGCAGATTTCCTTGAACTTCAATGGATTGTCTTGACCACATGAGTTGCTGCCATGTGATTGGCTGAATAAAACAAGTAGTTGAACAGCTGATGAACATTTGTGTTTATTATTTCTGTAAATGCAGCACTGAGTGACAATCACCCCAGGGCCCAGTCTCTCCTGTTTCAGCTTTGTGACGTGGCTGCTACTGTCATTTTGGAGAGGCCTGTTGACCCAGTATCCTTGTTTTTATGAGCTTATATATAAGGGAAACAATCTTCCATTAAAGCCCTTTACCTGTGATAGCTCTTTGTCCAATCAGCGCCCATGCTTTTAGCGACTCTTCCTGAACTACACTAGGCAAACAGATCTGTCTGTCTCAATGTTTGTCAATGTCAGTTGCTTAACCATTTATCAGCAGTCAGTAAGTGCACTGACAGCTGGGACTTACTCTGGGCATGAGGGTTTTCTCCAAAAAAAAAAAAAAAACTACATTATTAACACACAGGTTTTTCATAAACCCTGCTGACCTGGGATATTAGCATTGCCTCGATCTTTGTGAAGTGTAAGTCTCCCTCTATGGGGCAGCACACAGCTGCCAGACCAGTCCTCCTCATAGGGGGCAGGGCAAGTTAAGACAAACCAGGAGTGAGAAAAGTAGGCAGTAAAACCAATGCGGTTGTGGGCTGACATGTCATTTGAGCTTGAAGAAGGACGGGGCAAACTTGACACAGGACTTGGGAAGGACTGACTTCGAGCTTGTGAGCTTTTTAAAGAAATCAGTGGAGATCACTGAGAGCTGTGTGTGGTTGGGGGTGTGTTCCTGTGTATTTGGGCGAAAGCCATAGGAACTTTACTTCCATAGCGTGATCCTGCAGCTGCCAGTCAGTCATCAGTCGGTGAGTTTTAGTATTGGTATTTTTAATCAAATACACTATTTTAGATGATTTCTTAAAACTATGAATTACTCATTGCTTGTGTATTTACATATAGTCATACACTGAATTACTTTTAATTGGTTCATATGTGAAAAATCATGTTTTTTTATTTATTTTGCATGCACTTAAAACTTAAATTTACTCATTATTTACTGGGTGGTATTTAAAGGGTGAGTAAATGTTGACACTTTTACTAATTTAAAACACTGTTGACACAGTTTAACTAATGTCTTTAAGAATTCTATTTGCAAAAATAAAAACTGAGTTATCTGTTTTTGAAAATAAACTAGCCAACTGCATGGACAAAGTATGTACCGGTTCCTGTAGTATTAATTCACTCAAACACAGATTAATGTCTGGCTTAGCTTTAAAATATGCAGCTTTGTAACTGAGCTTTAGAGTTGTCTGTCAAGTTGGGCTTCATAAAGCATGATAAGCGCTCAGGGCTACTGCTCACAGGTACAGCCTTATACACGTCAATCTTTGCCTCCTTTACTCCTTTTACAGGTTTGAAATAGACGCAGTGTAATGCTAATGCCATTGTAATGCCTCGATGTTTGGTCACATGCAGCCCAATGTGACAAATCTACAATAAACACATGTCTTAAATGTAAAAGTTTATTTAGGAAGCAGCTTGAGTGTAAATTTTCATATCTAACTCAGAGGAAAAATGAGAATATTAATATTTAAAACTCTTCTACAGATGTATTTTGTATTTTTGGGTGTGTGAACACTATCACCAAAATTTTTTTTTAAATGTTTGATACGTTTATGTGATCAGTAATACAGCAAAATGGTAATGTCATATTTTGAATAGCTGTTTTCTATGGTAATATTATTTTAATAAAGTCCTGCTATGGCAAAGATCAGTTTTTTTTATTCTATTACTCCAGACGTCAGTGTTACTTGATCCTTCAGAAATCATTCAAATACAATTACTTACTGTCGTCAACATCAGAAATATGTTTTTAGTGGAAATCACAACATTTTTATAGAAGTATTAGAAGAGTAAAGTCCTATTGACCACATTTGAACAGTATATAAAGATTTTATTTACTATACTTAGTATAAATATATATAACTAAAACATTTTCAAATGTATCTAAAGAGACTGTCTTAAAATGTGTTTTTTTAGCAGTTTAAACACTTCATATAAATGTGCAAGTGTGTTTCATTAAGTATAACCCATCAGGTGTAATGCTTTTATAATGAACTCTCATAATGAACTTGTAAGCCAATGCACGAGTGAAAAAACCCACAAACTTAACTCTTTAACTGCACGAAAGCACACCAGCCAATAAGCGATTTGCAAAATACATACGCCTGTCAAAATGAAAGCACTTTATCCCACTATTATGCAATAATGCCTAAGGCTTTAGCATTATTCTACATTGGGCAATGCTAAAACCTGCTTAAACTGCAGACATGTGCAAGTGAGAACAAAGGTTAAAGTGTTATAATAATACTGATGCTATTTTATATGCTTTAGCTACGCTTTTGTTTCCAGCACCACTGATTTTGCATAATCAATTAACTTAATTATAGATATATTATTTATAAAACATGCACAACTTGCATATGAGTTCATTTTGGTGATGTCCTTTTGACATGCGGTTGAGTATAAGAAAGTATGATTCTTGACTAACTCTTATTAGACTATTAGTAGATTGTTCACTGTAAAAAATACTGGGTTCCACACAATCGATTTAAGTTGTGACAACATGAAGGAATTAAGTTAACTTATACATATTTACAAATTTAAGTAGATTGAACATAAAACAATTAAGTTGTCCCCCAAAAAATCTCAAGAATTGTGTTTTTTATGTAATTATATGTAAGTAGTTTAAACAAACAGTGAACATAATTGCTTTTGAGTGTAGCTTAGTGGGTTAGTAGAATTAGTTACTACATGCAAAGTTACTTACAGTCATCAGAATGTCTGTTCTGTTGGAGGAGCATCACAATCAAGAGTTTGTGTACCGACTTATTTATTTGACAGTTTGTGTCAACAGGAAGAATGCTAGAACATTGCCTCACATTTGGTCGCTCCCTTGTGAGGAGGAAGAATGTGGACCAGGGCTGTCTGGAGGAGTCCAAGCTGTGCCGCTGCCTCTCAACTGTTGATCTCATTGCTCTGGGGGTTGGAAGCACACTGGGGGCCGGTGTCTATGTACTCGCTGGAGAGGTGGCCAAAGGCAGTTCCGGCCCCAGCATCGTTGTGTCCTTCCTCATCGCTGCATTAGCATCTGTGATGGCTGGTTTGTGCTATGCTGAGTTTGGTGCCCGGGTACCCAAGACTGGCTCTGCCTATCTGTACAGCTATGTGACGGTAGGGGAGCTCTGGGCCTTCATCACCGGGTGGAACCTCATTCTGTCATACGTTATCGGTAATTATGAATCTTAAATCAGTGATATTATATCAAATATCGGAGTTCATTTACCAGTATCATCTGATGTTCTGTTGGACAGGCACCTCCAGTGTGGCACGTGCCTGGAGTGGGACATTTGATGAGATAATAGGCGGTCACATTGAGAAATTCTGCAAAATGTACTTCAAAATGAGTTTGCCTGGCCTGGCGGAGTACCCTGATTTCTTTGCTGTTTGCCTGATCTTACTTCTGTCAGGTAAAACAAAAAGTCTGTCAGTAAATCTATTCAGTTAATAATATTTTTAAAATGTTGCTGCTTATATAGTGACATCAAAACCCTGAAGACCACTGGTTCGATGATTTTTTTTTTTCTTTTTACAATTCTAAATAAAGGCTAAACTTTATACTTGAAGAGTTGGGAAGCAAAAACCTCTAAGTGCCGTCTCAAATTTGCATCTAAAATTAATAATTTTCTTAGCCTCCTTTGTTTCTGTTAAGTTATTTTACTTTAAAGACCAGGAAAAGGACTTATTCTTTGCCATAAATGTGATATTACTGAATAATGCTCAGTTAACAGGAAAATTTCAAATGGCATTTAGAGGTCTTCATACATTTTGTTGATTATATGAAATACACGTATGAAGTACATTTCATCATTCTTTTTTATAAACCTTATTTTGATAGTCACTTGACAGACAACAGTCTACTGACTGTAAGGACAACGTTGTCCATTTATAGACTACTATAATCCTTAAGCCTAACCTAAGAGTCTAGTAAAGCCTAAAAGTCCTAAAGGCTCTCCAGAGTCACACGAGCACCCTTCTGGAAGCTAAAATGTTGAAGGGGACAAACTGCCATCTTATACACTCAAATGCAGTGCATTCGTACATTGTAAGCCATTGTAAATCAGCCAGTACACATAGAATGAATGGACCAAGTACTTTGCAAAATGACCTTAAGCCCTGTGTACACCTGGCATGATCTGATCAAAAGTGGTCAGTTGAAAATATTACCGTTACCACCTTGCATTAACATACATCCATAAGCATCCAGTAAGCACTTGTGCTTTTTTGTTGACTATAAAAAAAAAACTCTGATTTACTACTTCAGTTCAGTGCAGCATGAGCACACTTTGCATCATAAAGCAATTAAATGAAAAAGATGTTGATGACTGATGACAACAACTTTGACTGTAATCCATGTGTTTTGATACAATGCAACGGTGTATGTATACTTGAGGCACATTCTCACAACCATTACCATAATGAAAGTTATAAAAACCAATCTAGAAATCTTGAGTGAGCCAGCAGTGAATTAGTCTTCCAGGTTTTGACACCACAGTGACACCACCCAATTTTTCTTTACTAATTTGTTCTATGTATTGCTATCACTTTATTATATGAATCACTTTATATGCTTTAAACGAATCGCTTGTTGTAATCCTCATTTGTCTCTGCTTAAGTGAATAAATGTAAATGTATGTATTTTGTTAAAACAAACAAAAAAAAAATTAAATGCATCTTTTAAAAAAACATATTGCATAAGATAATGGATCCTTTCCACAAGACTGTTATGATGTGTTTAATGGTCATCATAATCTTTAAAAGTTGTAATATCTTGATGTTTAAAAAACAAATGAACACATATGTATTCATGTATGCATCATATTTCCATAAAATTACAAAAAAAAAAAACAAATTACCTCTTGTGCGGGGTATTTCCCATGTAAAATATGATATTAAGTAAATATGATACTGTTCTCTCTTGTCTGTCATTATCAGTCTCGCACAATTTTAATCCTTTCTCTGAAATTCTTGATAACACCATTGTGGGGTTGTTTTTTTATTAATTCAGCAAAGAGAACTGTAAAAAAAAAGTATTTGTTGTACTCTCCCATTCACTGTGCTCTAAGTTTACCCAACTATGACGACTTCCACTACTGAGAAACCATATCAACAAGAACATGTATTTTTTATAAGCTGAATATAAGTGTTCATTTTTCCACAGGCCTTCTCTCCTTTGGGGTGAAGGAATCCGCCTGGGTCAACAAAATCTTCACAGCAGTAAATGTGCTTGTGCTCATGTTCGTTATCATCTCTGGATTTGTCAAAGGAGACTCTCTCAATTGGAACATATCAGAGGAATCGCTCGTAAATATCACAGTTGTCAAAAGGTGGAAAACATTTCTTGTTTCTCTCGAACTCCTCGTCTTTTCATTCACCCTAAAGGATCATAATCATTCAAATGTTTATTTACTTCACTCAGAAACATCTCGGGTGCTGCTAATGTCACCAGCGATTATGGGGCAGGAGGCTTTTTTCCGTATGGATTTGGCGGAACGTTGGCTGGTGCGGCCACCTGCTTTTACGCCTTTGTGGGATTCGACTGTATTGCAACCACAGGTATTCAATCACTTATCATACAGTTATTTCCAGTCCTTCAGTGTCTAGTATAATGTTCTATTGTGTTTTTATATCTGACTAGGTGAAGAGGTGAAGAATCCCCAGAGGGCCATTCCCATTGGCATAGTGGTTTCCCTTCTGGTCTGCTTCCTTGCCTACTTTGGTGTTTCAGCAGCCCTCACCCTCATGATGCCCTACTATCTGCTGGATGAGAAGAGTCCTCTACCTTTGGCTTTTGAATATGTAGGCTGGGGGCCTGCGAAATATGTAGTTGCGGCAGGATCACTTTGTGCTCTTTCAACCAGGTAAACATCTTTCTTTGTGCCCCTAATGCAGTTCTGCTGGCCAAGGCTTGTATATTAAATCAGCATGCTCACATCAAACACTGTGAATAGTTACATAAAAGTGCGCTTATTCATTTTGTCATTTGTTTGTCGTTCAGTTAAACAGGTCTTTCCTAATTGTTTTGTATGAAATTCTCAGTTGGGTCTGTGGTGGATTGATTCCTATGCTTCGCATCTCTAATGACTTTTTGATAGTGGTTTGTTTGAAAGAGAGCATATTGTGTAAATAATCACACGTAGCATTTCAGTAATCACATCATTAGCATTTAGATGTTTAATGTTTATAGTCGCTCTCTTTCAGAACAAAATTGTCATGTGGTTTGTGTTTTTCGTTTTTTCCTGGACTTTTGTTTCATATTTTGCAACAATCATCTAATTCAAGCAGTGCTAATGCAATGATTATTGGATTTATTCTGATATTAGTCTAAATTATGTTAGAAATGTGCTGGGTATGGTTGTACCAGCTGATCGTAAGTTTTTTCTTAAACTGGAACGTAAAGTTCACACTTTAGGGGCTTAGTAACAACTAGCTAAGCTAGTTTGTAACTAAATTTGTTGTCTCTTCGGGTGTACCACATGTTTTAGGGCAAACCTTAGTTAGTAGGTCGTAATTTCTCCGTAAAGTCATACATAGTCCCATTGAATGACGCAATATTCAATAAAAAGCATTTAAATTGTTAAACTGCTTTTAAAATTCTGTACCTATTGTGTCTGTATATAACTGTCCTTAATGAAATTATAAATGACATTTTTATAGCACATTAAATTATAGTCAGTCACTAATATCAGACGACGCACGCATCTGCATCGCAAACTGAAAATGCAAAACATTAAACTTTTTTAATATCCTTCTCATGAAAGTAAAAAGAACAGGAAGAAAAACTTAGTCATGAAAAAATTCTCGTCTTAATTGATGGATACAGTTAACAAAAAACACTCCTTGAAAGAAAATTACACTTCTTTTATAAAACGAAAAAGCAAAATTTGGGAGAAAATTAAGGCTGTGAGAGGAAGAGGTGTAGAAAGAGATCATTCTTCATTATGATCGGAAGCTCCTTAATGTTAAGTAATCTCGCTGTCATCTCTTTTCTACCATTATACATGGGGGGAAGGCTGTCATAAATATTTAGTTGGAATACAGCGTTACATTTAAACTAAGTTCAGTGGTGCAACACAAAAATATTTAGTAATTTGCAACTAATCGTGTCCCTTTATGTCACAACTAGGCTACGTTTTAACTTACACACTGCTGGTGCAACCGTCCCCTGGTCTTTTATTGGTGAGGTATGACTACGGATCTACTACAATTAATCTTTTATATTTAAAATAAATCACATGGTCATTTTATAAACCCAAAAAAATATATATAAACATTATAAACATATGAATACCACAACCTATAGGTCATGCGCAATACTCCCAGGAAAAAATGAAGTTGTTTTTAGCTGTACATTTGGTCCCATTTGCATCTGCTGAATCTATGATCTATGTTCTGTATAATGATGTGCTGTCAAATTTGACATTCCCTAAAGTCAACATGAAATATGTTGTTTTAACATTAAATATTTTTTGTGTTAATTTTATTTGTCGTAACAAGATACAGATATTTAGCCTATCCAGATAGATAGCATATGTTACCATCAACAAAGTCAGTGACGAAGGCTCATGGACAATTTTTTTCCTTTTGTCCTGTCGTTCAATAAATAAATTGAGCGCAGACCTTCATTGGTACTAGTCATTTGAATAAAATTTGGTCAGAGCACCAAACATGTCTAAAAGAGCGTGGTGATTTACATTCTACCACCAACAAAGTAAAAAAAGTCAATTTATTTTAAAAAGTCATTAAAATTTTACTAATAGTAGCTATACTTCAAAATGATATTGAATTTAAACACTTATGTGAAAGGATGTCAGGCAACATGCTACTATCAAAAGTCCACTAGGGTTAATGATTATTTTATTAATCCTTTCCTGCGGCCGTTCATTCATTTATTCATTTTCAACTGCTTTTCCGGGGCCTGGTCGCAGGGGCATCAGTTTTATGAGAGAACCTCAGACTTCCTTTTTCCCCGGACACTTCCTCCAGCTCGTCCGGGGGGATCCTGAGGCGTTCCTAGGTCAGCCGAGAAATAAAGTCTTTCCATCATGTCCTGGGTCTTCCCCGAGGCCTCCTCCTGGTGGGACATGCCTAGAACAGCACCCTAGGTAGGCGTCCAAGAGGCATCTGAAACAGATGCCTGAGCCTCCTCAGCTGACTTTTCTCGATGTGGAGGAGCAGCGGCTCTATTCTAAGATCCTCCCAGGTGACAGAGCTCCACATCCTATCTACGTATAAGGGTGCGCCCTGCCACCCTGCGAAGGAAACTAATTTCAACCACTTGTATTCAAGGTCTTGTCCTTTCGGTCAAAACCCAAAGCTCATGACCATAGATGAGAGTAGGAATTAGATTAACCAGAAAATTGAAAGCTTTGCCTTTTGGCTCAGCTCCTTCTTTACCACAACGGACCGGTACATTGACGGCATTACTGCTGCCACTGCACCAATCCACCTTCCCTCACTCGTGAAAAAAACCCCAAGAAACTTGAACTCTTCCACCTGACGTAAGGACTTTCTTTCAACCTGGTCAGGGCAAACCACTTCTTTGCAGTGGAGCACCAAGGCCTCAGACTTGGAGGTGCTGATTCTCATCCCAGCCGCCTCACACTCGGCAGCAAACTGCCCCAGTGCATGCAAAAGATCTATGTTCAATGAAGCCAACAGAACAACATTAACCATTGGGATCTAATGCATATTTTAGAATCTCACTAGAATTAGTAGTCACACGCTTCGAACGTTATCCCTCGATTGAAAGGACGTTATCAGTGGTTATCAGCTGTTAGATGTGTGTGTGTGGGGGGGATTCCATTATAAATGCAGCCAGGGTTCATTCTGATTTCATGTTGACTTTAAAGTAAAAGCGACCAGTTGCACAGCAGTAGAAGTGTTTGGGATCAGGTCTGCAGCATGTGATTAATTGACCCGTTGCTTCTGCTGATGTCTTTGCTCACATGCAGTCTGCTGGGCTCCATTTTCCCAATGCCACGTGTAATCTATGCTATGGCACAGGATGGGGTGCTTTTCAAAGTGTTAGCCCAAATCAATCCTAAGACGAAGACCCCTCTTATTGCAACAATGTCTTCAGGTGTAGTTGCAGGTGAGAGACGGAGGCATGATTGCTGTGCTTAAAGGCCAATGTGATCCACCAGGCAAATGTGAAAAAGAGCGGAAAACTAAAATGTACTGTAAGAAAGTATTCTATGGAAATATACTTCCAATTTATCGATTGCAGGGTTCTAGCAAACCTTGAAAAACAGAAAATATCAAGACATGCTAAAATCATAACTTCCAGGCTTGGATAAATGAAAGGCCTGTGAAAAACCTAAACAAACAGGACACATTTTAATGTATATATGCATTACATTTAATACATACTGTGCCTATGAAAAAACATCATACACGCTCAGAAATAAAGGTACGAGAGCTGTCTCTGGGGTAGTACCTTTTCAAAAGGTACACATTTGTACTTGAAAGGTCCATATTGGTACCTCAAAAGCTTATATATGTACCTAAAATTTTCAAGAGGAACACTTTTGTACTTTTTAGGTACTAATATGTACCCTTGAGGTATTAATATGGAACTTTTAGGTAAACATTTATACCTTTTGATAAGGTACCACCCCAGTGACAGATTGCGTACCTTTATTTCTGAGAGTGTACCCTTTTGAAATAATGACTTTATTTGTCATACAACCTGAAATCAAATCACTTTCAAAATAACTTTTCTTGAAATGTTTTTAACACCTTCTCCTTTTGCCTTACTACAATTTTCGCCTGAAGGTCTTTTGAAATCAGGGTGTAATGTAAAGGTATAGATTTTTGACAGAGAATAATGTTTTTCTATAGGCACTGTATATTCAAACAGCACTTTAAATTAAACCAATCTGACAAGTATTTGCTGACCAGTATTTGCTCCTTCACACTTGCCGGTGTTAAAATGTTCTTTTTCTTCCAGAGTTGCAGGTGTCTGAACCATGACTCCTTTTTGTTTTTAGCCTGTTGGGCTCAATGTTCCCCCTACCCCGCATTCTGTTTGCCATGGCACGAGATGGCGTGCTATTCAGATTTCTTTCCAAACTGAGTAAGCGCCAGTCGCCAGTGGCTGCCACTATGGCAGCAGGCACTACCGCGGGTAAGCTAAGAGTGAAGCAAGCCGTGCATGGCCTGCCGTCGTGTTTGTGTCAGCCTGGTGGAGGTGCGATGTGCCTGCTTAATTACAGGAGGCTGCTAATGGATGCATGCTGTTACTGTGGTGTTGGTGATGCTAAATCTCATTATTCTGTAAAACTATGCAAAGGTTCATTATTGCATGCAAAAAAACTAATTGGTAAAGTTGGATAGAGAAAGAAACTGTTAGGTCAAGTTTGAAAGATTATATAATTTGGGGAACACTTTAGAATAATGGTCCATTAGTTTGTTGATGTATTTACTAACATGAACAAACAATGGGGCATATGCACACAGACTTTTAATTTCAGTCAGCCAGCCCCAGGGCTTCTGGTTAATTGTCATCCCACACCAAAATCGCAGCGTTTAAGATCTGATTTCTTTAAAAAACAGCAATATTCACTGCCTGGCTGAGATGCGATATAAAGCGGGTATCAGACCAAACAAGAAGCACTGCATTTAATAATATTTTTTCATGCCATGTCTTTAAAATATGGAAATTAAATTTACCCCAATATTTTCATTAGTATTTCTCGTCTGCTGCTAATGAAGGCTCCTGCGTTTAACGGTCTTTCGTCTCTTTTTACACTGTACATTACAACATACTGTAGATGCTGTAAAAGGAACTGCATAAAATTTAAAAGTCACATAAAGCTTTCACTAGAGTTTATCATTGGCTGAAAAACTCTAGCTGTGCATATAGTTTATTAGTAATACATTTGTTATTCAAATTTGTTAAAATTATTTAATGCAGTTGGCGCAATAGCCTAGTGGTTAGCGCGCCGACATATGGTGCAATAGCACGTCAGGACGTCGCGAGTTTGAATCCTGGCTCGACAACATTTCCCTACCCCCTCTCTCTCTCTCCCACTTCGCTTACTGTCCTATCTAATAAAGGCCAAAAAAAAAAAAAAATTATTTAATGCTATTTAACAAGCACAACTTTGGATTTTAATAATAATCCATTAGTTAATGTTGAAGTATGATAAATTAGATTATTTATACTTAATGTTAGTAAATACATTTACTAACATTAACTAATGGGCCCCGTTATTTTAAACTGTTATTGTAATTTGTAACAGTAATTGTGTGAAACATTATTAAAATCTGAGATGGATTTTCAGCATCACTACTCTTCAGTGTCACATGATCCTTCAGAAATGTAACAATTTGCTGCTTAAGAAGCTTTTTGTCATTTGTTATTGTCAGTGTTGCTTTATAGAGACAGTTCACCAAAAAATTACAATTCTGCAATCAATTACTCACCATTGTTATGTTCCAGTGTTTTGTTTCTATTTTGAAGAATATTGGAAACCCATTGACCTCTGTGGTATTTGTTTTTCCTACTATGGATGTCAAGGGTTACAGGTTTCCAGATTTTTCAAAATTAATCATTTTAGGTGCAGCAGAAAAAAGAAACTTAAAAGAAGAAAAATAAAATAAAGGTTTGGAACTAATAAATGTAAAATTTTGGGGTAAACTGTAACTTTACTAGTCTTAATATTTAATGATAAAAATGGAAACCATGAAACAAAAGGGATTTTGAGTAAGTCACAATAGAAAAAGGGTAAGGAAATTAATGAGAATTTGTGGCAAAAGTTAAATCAAAATGGCTAAAAATGTCCCAAGAAGGCCACATGTGGGCTAATGAATGCAGCGTTAACTAAATTAAACCTTGATTAACTAATTTCAAAAGAACACTTGTCTTGACCATCTATTTTAATAAGTTAAAGGTCTTTATCAATGATCTAATTAACTACTTTATCATTATGATTATTGTTTTTAATCTGCTTAACGTAAACACTTGAATGATAATCTATTATAGACTCAAAAATTTACATTTGCTGTTTGTTCAAATACAAATTAAAATTGAGCTGAAACAATTCTTGAGGTTGTTTAAGGGACAACTTAATTGTTTTATGTTTAGTCCATTTCAATTTGTAAAAACTAATAAGTTAATTCCTCCATGTTTTTCCAACAAAAATCAATTGTAGTCTCCAAAATAGAAAACAACAAGCAACACTTAAGTTAGAGCTAAACATTAAGAATAATAAATCTTGAGGACCAATATCAGCTTATCTGAATCATTTCTGGACGATCATGTGACACTGAAGACTAATAATATCTCATGTCAGGTGCAGATGTGTAATACACTGCAGACAGCTGCAGGAAAGCAGAGATTCTCCTACAGTGTGGAAATAAAGCACTTTGATGCTAGCAGGAGTCACTCAGTGGTTGCTTATGAGTTCTGAGCACTTCTGAGGAAAGGGAAATCAGAGGGGAAGCTTATTCAGAGGATGAGGACGCAGGACAGTTTTTGCTTTTCAGAGCCCCCTGCCCACTGCACATGTTAAGCCTATACTGTAACACGGTATGCTTGTTAGTGTACACTGTCTTCTTGCTGTGAGGGAAGTCTGAACAGCTGTATATGAAGTCACAGGGCACATCTGCTGTAGGTTTCGTCAGAGCTAGTGCATCCTGAGTTTATAGTTGTCCACTAATAAAAGAAACAGTATTGATGGTTGATTTATTTGTTTAAGTCCTACATTGTCAATATAATATTGATGATGTGTAGTACATTACAGTTGTCATATACAGTACATATTATTTTGGAAATTTCATAATTCAGCAATAAGGCTTTTCAACATGAATACAATAATATACTGATCCATGCATGCTGTGTTGGTGTGTAATGTTTTAACCTCAAATGTTTTTGATAATAAGGTCGCACTCATGAATGTATGAATGTCATTGCATAAACAGATTTGACATTATTTGAGTTTTTAAATTTTGCATAATTTCAAATGTTTTAAGTGCTAATATTAATTAAAAAATATAAATATTAATTAAAAAGTTATTATTAAGATTATTGTGCTATAAAATGTGTGCATTTTAATTGTGACTTAAATATGTTAAAAGTTGGGGCCACTGTAAGTAAAATATATTTGTGATTTAGTAGTGTGTGTTTGTCATGCTTTTAATCCATTCTTTTTAAACTTCAGCTGATCAGCTTTTTTCATATCAACAGCTATCATGGCTTTTCTGTTCGACTTGAAAGCGCTGGTGGATATGATGTCTATTGGAACATTGCTGGCTTATTCCCTTGTGGCTGCTTGTGTTCTTATACTCAGGTTAGTAAGAATAAGATTAAATAAATAAAACAATTATTTATAAATATATCTTTTTTTATTGACAAATTGTACAAAAATGTCCAAAAATAAAGTACAAAGGCAGTACTTTCTCTGGTATTTATGGACATAATATTTTTTTTCAAACTATTACAATGTCAATATTTAAACTGTTGAATTTTCAATGGCAAATGTTGACAGAGCAGGGATCAAGGCCCCATAATTGGGTTCATAGCTAAATAAATGGAAAACACTGCTGAACTGACAGGAATACTGGTAGTGTAAGTGTGTTTTTTAGTGTGATTAGGCAAACAAAAACTCAGACAACCTCAGATGAGAAAGAAACTCACTACATTTATATTTATGTAGGTTCAAGAGTCATACTTAAGTTATTTTTCACTATACTGTTAAAAAGGGGTTTCTAAGGTCATATCTTTTGATTTTTTTATTTAAGTATTGACACTGTAGTAGTTTGAAATAAAATATTATGTCCATAAATACCAGAAAAAGTTCTGCCACTGTACTGTAAGTTTGTATATTTTGTAAAACTTTTCGACATCAATAAATAAATAAACAAATAAATCCATTTCCAGTACAAATATCTAAAATGATTGTCAAAATAAATTGACATGAGAATAAAATAAATCTGACAGATTACGAGCACAGTTTACATTATGTGCAATTTTCATCAAGTGTGCAGACTGCGTACATGTGCAGTAGTTTTAACCAGGCAAACTTTGTTTGTCCCGATTGCACACGTGTTTTCTTTTTGTACTGCTGAGCTTGTCCACAATGTGTCAACACTTGGACATGGAACAAGAACAACAAATAACTAACGATGATGGCAAAAACTTATAACAACTGCATGTGTGAAAGAAAAAGATCACCAAAACCAACTCTCTTTTGAATTATATTTAATTGCTCTTTTGGTCCAAAAAATGCTCCATAATTTTTTCTAAAGTGCATGTGTCAAGGGCCTGTATTTACACAGGTTACCAGCTGAAGTATACTTTGAATGCTTGTGCATATAAAAGGCTATTAGTACTGAAAGTCTTTTGATGAAATACATAAAACTTTGTTTTGAATAAAACTGTTAACAATAAATAAATAAATAAATAAATAAATAAATAAATAAAAAAAAAAATATATATATATATACATACATATATTTAAAAATATGTTTTATTTAGTCTGGCTAGAATAAAATAACATTTTTTTAATAATATCAAAGTAAGAAATATTAGCCCTCTTCAGATGTTTTATTTCTTTATTGGGCATAGAACAAACCACTGTTGTACAATGACTTGCCTAATTAAACAAACTTACCTAAATAACACAATTAGCCTAGTCAAACCTTCAATTGCACTTTGAACTAGTATCTTGCAAAATAATAAGTAAAATAGTACGTACTGTTACCATGGTAAAGACAAAATAAATGAGTTATTCAAATTATTTTGTTTAAAAATATTCTGAAAAAAAGCTGGGAAATGTCACAGAAGGCCTAATAATTTTGCCTTCAACTGTATATCTTAATATGCCTTAAAAGTCAATAGTCTAAAATACAGCAATTTCCTTGGCTGCCGTTCTTGCTGACTCACTGACATGCTCAAGGTCAAGTACAATTAACAATGATAAATTGCTTTTATTATAAATTAAGATACAGATCTATGAAGATTTTAATTTTGTGCAGTCTAAAAGCAGTTGTGTTGTCCTAAAAAGGTGGTGTACTATTGCCCACCCAACCCAATTTTTAAATAGAAGTATATATGCAAAGAAACTATGAAAGTCAGTGTTTCTTTGATTCATTAGCAAAACATATATTTGTTAAACATTAGTTACCTATAACTATTCACTTTCACAGAAGAAAACAAAAATCGTGGAAGTGAATGGTTACAGGTTTTCAGCTTTCTTCTTTTGTGTTCAACTGGTAAAGGTTGAGTAAATGACAACAATTTTTGATTTTTTGGGTAACCTATATATATTTAAAAAGGAAAAATATTAAAACAAACGTGTTCATTTAATGTGACATGCTAATAGTCCAATTCTATTTAATGATTTATGCTTAGCTAATAGTGCCCCCAGCGGACACAGAGATTGGCTAAGTAAGCTGTGGTGAAACCCAACTGTTTAACTCTATAGGAACTTGTAAAATGAGACTTTTTCCAAAAACTTTTTTGATTTATTTTAATATTGTACAAAAAAAAAGTTAAAAATTTTTTATAAGACTTTCTCCAGAAGAAAAAAAATTATCAGACATACTGTGAAAACTTCTTTGCTCTGTTAAACATCATTTGGTAAATATTTAAAAAGAAAAAAAATCAAAAATCAAAGGAGAGCTAATAACTCTGACTTCATCTGTATATGCCAGAAACATATGCAGTGCATCCGGAAAGGGTTATTTATTTATATATATATATATATATATATATATATTCCTTCTGGAGAAAGTCTTATTAGTTTTTTCCCCCGGCTAGAATAAAAGCAGTTTTTAATTTTTTAAACACCATTTTAAGGTCAAAATTATTCTAATAATTTAATAATTTTTTCGATAGTCTACAGAGCAAACCATCGTTATACAATAACTTGACTAATTACCCTAACCAGCCTAGTTAACATAATTAACCTAGTTAAGCCTTTAAATGTCACTTTAAGCTGTATAGAAGTGTCTTGAATAATATCTAGTAAAATATTATGAACTGTCATCATGGCAAAAATAAAATAAATCAGTTATTAGAGATATGTTTTCAAAACTATTATGTCTATAAATGTCTTCTCTCCGTTAAACAGAAATTGAGGAAAAATAAACAGGGGGCTAATAATTCTGACCAAAAATGTATGTGCAATACAGGAAGGGGACATATACGTTTCTGATATTTATGTGGCTATATGTATTTAGCATAAATTAACATATATGTTTATGGCATATAGAACATATGTGTTATTCATGTAGGGGACATATATGTTTCTGACATATAAAAGACTTAACCTGTACCTAAAAGAATGATGTGTATTTTTAGTGAGCTGCCATCTAGTGGTCATCTGTCACTTTTAAGATGTATGTTTAAACTATATGGACAATTCTGATCTTAGTCATGGTAGAATTAATAATAGTAAGATCATGTGTTCATCACATTTAACAAAATAATATAATAGTGTTCTAATTCTGTTTCAAAGCACCTACTTTAAATGGTTTCATTTACCACAAAATTCTGTCATCATTTACTCAATCTTCTTCCAAACCTGTTTGAGTTTTTGATCATCTGTTGAACAAAAAAGATGATATTTTGAAGAAAGCCAGAAACCTGTAACCATTAACCTAAATAGTCTTTGGTTTTCCTACTGTGGAAGTTGATGGTTGCAGTTTTTCAGCTTTCTTCAAAGTATAATCTTTAGTGTTTAACTGAAGAAAGAAACTCAAGAAAGTGGATTGGAATCCCTTGAGGGTAATTTAACAGTGAGTAAACTGTATTTTTTGGGTGACCTGTATCTTTATTATGTATTTATATGATGTAAACAACCGAGTATTTCATGACAGATATCAGCCAGATGCTTCGTTCGAGAGGTCGAGGATCAGTGAAGGGAAGGAGGAGGTCGGAGAGTCTGAACTGACAGAGTCTGAGTCTCATCTGAACATGCTGAAGGATGGAGGAGTAACGCTGCGCTCTCTGCTCCATCCTCCACTGCTGCCCACTGAAAATACCTCCAGTGTGGTCAACGTGTCTGTCATCATCACAGGTCTGAACAGCAGGAAACTGACACATTTACTGGACACAAGTTTACATGTGATTTCCGAGACTGAATCTGTGTGTTTTCTCCTGCAGTGCTGGTTGTGTGTGTTGTGAGCACACTGAACACATACTACGGACAAGCCATTATTGCAATGGAGCTTTGGGCACTGGGAGTATTAGCTGCATCACTGTTCATCTTCATCATATGTGTCTTTCTTATTTGTAGACAACCACAAACAAGGAAGAAGGTTTCCTTTATGGTAAGTCCACGATTCATAACTGTTCTTATTACATATAGTTATAATGTTATTACAGTATTATTACAGTTTTATTGATTTATATTGTGATATAGTTTGAAATTTCATTTCTTTTTGTAGCATTATTACTTGAGTCGTCTTTGTTGCATGATTTATCAGAAATCGTTTAAACAAGATGATTCCCTGCTTAAAGGAATAGTTCACCCAAAAAGGACAGTTTTGACAATGTATCTGTCATCAATCTTTCTTCTGTTGAACACAAAGGGAGTAGATTATATTAGATTCAACTTTATTGTCATTACACAAGTACAAGTACAATGCAACGAAATGCAGTAATACAGAAGATTAGGAATGTTGAAAAAATGCAGCCATTGACTTCCATTAAGTTTTTTGATCCTGCCATAGATGTCAATGGCTGTTTTGTTTTGTTGTTCTTCAGAATATCTTGTTTTGTGTTCAACGAAATAAAGCACTAAACAATTTGAGTGTGAGTAAATGGGAACATTATTAATTTTTAGACAAACTATCAGCTATCAGTCTTAAATGTCGTTAAATCTTTATAATCCTTGTATAATTTGTTTCTATTATTTTTATCTATGATTTAATTAGAATAATTATATTTATGGTCATAATCTATTTAACACATCCTGTTGAATAATGTGTTTCACAGATTATATTTCAAATTAAAGTGTTTATGGAGGAATTGAAAAAAATGAAATTTTGTCAGAATATATATTCATACAATGGGCATGAATGCCAGTATAAAATTTGCTATTATACATCTTCATAAAACTGCTACTAGATGGTATTTAATTTTTTTAGCTCTTTTATTGAAGCTTGACACTTGACATCCATTTGACTCCACTGTATTGAAAACGGGTAGCAACATCTAGACTTTTTTTAGATTTGAAATGAAGTTTTTCAGGTAAGAGTTCATTTAGATGGTTTCTGTTATTCTACTGACTTTAAGTAACTTTGCAAGTCTCACAAGTCTCTCATGAGTATTAGTTAACTGTCCAATATCTGTTAACACTTTATTTTTTATTGTCCCTGAACTGCCTTCCTTCTATAAGTTTGCATTTCAACTTATTCTATTATTTTTTTAGTCATATTTTATTAGTTTTATAATACTCTTATAAGCATTGGCTGACAGTAAGTTGCAAAGTTTTGAATATAATCACACGAAATCTAAAGAGGACAGTGAACATAACATTGAAATGCACTATTTATTTATAAGATGTGCCCCAAATTTAAAAGTGTGATCATCTTGATGTGCATCTGCACAGGTTTTAGGGTAATAGCCTGTATAAAATATCTGTTTGTGAAGCACTTTGTGTTCTCTCCTTATCTGACATGAAAAACAAAGTGATCTGACCCGAAAGATCCAGCATTCACTGTTTTTTCTTTCTTTCTTTTTTTATCTGGGTCACTTCATTAGTGAGTGCTGAGTGGAGTGCAGTCAAGCACATGTTTGAAGCCATGTGTATTTTTGTTTCAGGTTCCTCTTTTGCCCTTTCTACCCATCTTGAGTATATTTGTCAATGTGTACCTCATGGTTCAGCTCAGCGGAGACACGTGGATCCGTTTCTCCATCTGGATGGCCATAGGTACGTGCTATCTTTGTGTAAACACACACACACAAACACACACACACACAGGATGCAATCCTAAACCACGTTCAAACAAATCGAAAAAGGACTTGTTTACGTTTCAAGGTTGCTCACTTAAAATCAGACTTGATTGTAAATAAATGTAAGAAAATCTTGCAGAAATAACCCACTTACACTAGCACAAACCTCTATGTTCAGGTTGGTTTATATGGGTTTATGCTAGAGGAAACTGACAATGAATCCTTACAGTACAAAATGACTCTGATTTATTTATTTATTTATTGGGTGAACTTTCTCTTCATCTTGTTTATATTAAAAGCTTCTTGAAAGTTTTCAATCACCTCTTTAATTGACCTATATATTTAGGTTGGTTAATCTAATAGGGATAGCTGTAAAACGTACAATAAGGTTCTTATTATTCTGTTGTAATGTACATTAGGTAACAAACTCAGAATCGTTTACTTACTTAGTTTCAACATGATATTTAATAGACAGGTCATTTTTATTAGTGCTAAATTAATCATGATTAATCACATCCAAAATAAAAGTTTATTTTGAAATAATTTGTACTGTGTATATTTATTATGTAAACATGGAGATGTGTAGATATTCATTCATTCATTTTCTTGTCGGCTTAGTCCCTTTATTAATCCGGGGTCGCCACAGCGGAATGAACTGCCAACTTATCCAGCAAGTTTTTACGCAGCGGATGCCCTTCCATCCGCAACCCATCTCTGGGAAACATTCACACACACACACACACTCATACACTACGGACAATTTAGCTTACCCAATTCACCTGTACCGCATGTCTTTGGACTGTGGGGGAAACCGGAGCACCCGGAGGAAACCCACGTGAACGCAGAACATGCAAACTCCACACAGAAACTGAGCCGAGGCTCGAACCAGCGACCCAGCGACTTTTTTGCTGTGAGGTAAACGTGCTACCCACTGCGCCACTGCGTCGCCATGTGTAGATGTTTATTTATATTTAGATATAAATTACATATGTATAAGATACAATTGATATATAAATGTAAATATTACTTTGTAACAAAAATCCTTTGTATAGTTTTGTTTCTATGTGTGTGTATTTTTGCTGCTTGTTCAAACTACTCATTAAGCAACACTGATATTTTGCTTATTTTTTTTCTTAATTCATTGTGAATACATGGTGGTTACTAGGTCAATCGCTTTGAAAATCGGTTGGGATTAGGGAAGGGGGTGGGTGGGCTTATTAGTCAGTTGGCCGGTCAGTCAGTAGACAGTGGCCGCTGTTAGATTTACGCGAGAAAAGCAGGCACGAATGGCACTGGAGAGAAATTTGAGATCTGAAAAAGCAGACACAGTGACCTCTGGTAGATTTGCGAAAACAAAAACTGCAAAAATGTACCTCCTGGAACGGATTTCGTGCTGTGCAGAAATGTATACAGGAGTACGTATCCATAATTAATATTTTGAAATAATAATAATATCCAAATAATATTTTGAATGCGATTAATTGCATTAATTGCACAGCACTAATTTTTATTAACCAACACTAACAAAGCATAATAAATAATTTTCATTGTAAGCCATGTTAATGTATAACTAAACACTTGTGTGTATTACAAAAAAAAAATTGTCAACATTTACATATTCCAATTTTGATCTAAACTCTTTTTTTAAAATAAATTATGAATGAGAAATAATTTTGGCAAACATGCTTTGACATCAATCCACAGGTTTTCTCATCTATTTCGGCTATGGAATGTGGCACAGTGATGAACGCAAGCGGCATCTACAGAACTGTGCTGTCGCAACAGAGAAAAAGACACTGACCGGAAATGAAGGCTTTGTGGAGAACAAGACACACACAGAGAAGACCAGCCCATGCTAAAGAGCAGAAGACCAACTCTCACTTTAACTATAGCTGTTATTCACAGCGTTCCCCAGCCGGCTGACAGACGTAAGCTCTGTGCTTTCAGTCACTGCCGTCATGAACAATTACTGAAACACTTCTCACTGCTGATGTGAGCTTATAATGTAGTACAGTAGGTCATTAGGGGGGTACGATCTGACAAAACCAATGCTTCGATTATAGAAATGACCCTCAATATAATGAAAATCAATATAAATTGTCATAAACAACAATTTAGTCAATGACTTATATTCATGGTAGTTTCCGATAATAATGAATAGTGACCAAATGATTTTTGTATACTTGGATTTCTCATCGCAATATTTAGAACTTTTTAAATAGCATTGAAGGGCTGTCAAATATTTACAATCCCTTGAAGACAAACCTCAGCATGTGAGTGATTTGATTTCAGTGTTTGGATGAGAAAGGGAAAGCTTGTGGCTTTTTTTCATTACAAAAAAGTATTATGATTTCTGCAGTCAGTCTCTCAAGTTTACTTTTACTGTGAAAGTAAATATAACAACAGTAATATTTTACTACAGTATTCTTAGTTGGGAGAAATAAGTGTAAAATGATAAGTGTCCTTATCGAATGTGGGATATTAACACTTTAAAAAATATTTGTAAATGGACAGTTTTCCCTATTTTGAGATTTATGTTTTTCCCCTCTTATTTATGCTTTTGAATTGCATTATTGGACCTTAATTTTTACTTCAAAAGATTTGGATGAAAATTTGTCCAAAAAAAAGTCAATAAAATTCACTTTGGTAAACTGTAGAATTTAATTTTCAACATAAAAAGTGGACAGAGCTGAGATAAAACTCACATAATGCAATTCACAACCGTAAATAAACATAAAACAACAGATGAATAATTAACAGATTTTTTTCAGTGCAAATAATGGTCTAACTTTGATTTAGAATTAATTCTATTGACTACATCTTTCTGAATGTGCCAGAGATGTTAAGCTGCTCAGATAAAAAAAAAAAAAAATCATGTTTTCTTGTATTAAACACTAGTTCCTTATTTTTACCCACGTTATGTGTGTTAGCATTGAATGTTTGACAGGACATTCTACTACAGTATTCATACAGTAGGTCAACCTGTTGTTTAACAACCATAAGGTTTGAAGACGTTAAAGAGGAGCAAGTAATCAGTGTTTTGTCTTGTACAGTTACGTTTATTCAATTTGATTTCTTTCTATATTTGTTTACTTCACAGAGACTTTTATTTTGTTTTTGATGAATAACAATCATTGGCTGTTGTCGTTTGAAAATTGACAATCTGTTTAATTCAGTTAATGATGGAAAGTGTTTCTTCTGCTAACTAATGGTCTTCTGTTGTGCCACTAATGCATGAATGTATTATTTTGTTTTCTCTTTAGAGCTTGTGTATAGTTGTTTTAACCTTTTTTAGTGAGGGAAGTAAAGTATGGATCGTCATATCAATGCAGAGTGGTTTCATACAAAGCAATAAAAGATTCCTTTTTTTAAAAACAAAGATTTACACATTATTGGAAATAGATATGCAGTCATTTTATTTCTGCTTTAGATATAGACAATTCTTGCTTTAATGTATGTACATCTTATCTATTAGGTCATATTCTTTTTGTATGAGTAATTCTCTGGTAATGCTTGATGTCCAAAATGCTCAAAATATGCTTAGTTTAAAAGTCATTTTAATTGAACAAAAGGTTTGTTCAAATGATGATGAAAATAATTAAGCAAATTGAAGTTCAAGCAAACTGTAATTAGAATGATTTTTTCTAACTGATAAACAATAAAAGCACTGCAATTTACATGACCAAAGAAAATGAAAACTGAAAACCAAACTAATAGCTAGGCAATAGAGTCAATGCATTGAAAATGACTCTTCTATAGCAACTCTACTAAGATCTCCTTATAAGTCTCATTTTGCATTTTCAGCGCTGTATTTGTAACTATTATTGTAAATATATTGTATAGAAAAAAACATACATCTGTAAACTAACAGATTGGGTTCTAGCAGCTCATAACTCAGTTTTTTTGCAACATTATTTACATATATTTACATATAAAACATATTTTAAACTATGAAAAAAAAAAATCAGTCAAATATCTTTGGTAGATATCTACATATCAAAAGCTCCCAAAGATCAAAGTACCATAATCCAATTGGAAAGCATAAATACAAGAGTGCAATACAAAACACCTATTAATGTCAAGCTTTTAATGTCTAAAAAAGAATGTAAATCGGATCCTATGCTCAAAAAATAATTAATCATGATGAAGTTTTATATTAACTGTTTGTAACCTTTAGATTTTATTTATTTTTGTCAGTTTTTTCATTCCTTTATTCATTTTTCTTCGGCTTAGTCCCTTTATTTATCAGGGGTCACCGCAGCAGAATGAACCGCCAATTTATCCAGCATATGTTTTACTCAGCGGATGCCTTTCCAGCTGCAACCCAGTACTGGGAAAAATCCATACACACTGATATACAGTCAAGTTAGTATATTCAATTCACCTATACTGCATGTCTTTGTTCTGTGGGGGGAAACTGGAGCACCTGAAGGAAACCCCACGCGAGCATGTGGAGAACATGCAAACTCTACACTGAATGCCAACTGACCCAGCTGAGGCTCGAACCAGCGACCTTCTTGCTGTAAGGCCACTGTGTTGCCTCAGTTTTTTCAATTCCTTAGAATTTATCTAAATCTGTAAAAATCAAATACAATTGAATTTAATCAGTTAATATATATATATATATATATACACACACACACACACACACACACACACACATTTATAGCAGTAGAAAAAAACAGATCATTTAGTTAAATTCTAGGAGACTGGTTTACTTAATTTGCAGGGATAAAATTGATGCCGCTTCATACTCATAAATATCAATCACTCAATTATGTTAAAAAATGAAACCCAAAAAGATTTTATATACAATCGGAAGACCTAAATCTTATTTGATAGGTCTAAATATTTTTGGAGTGCAACAAGATTGTGACTTTTCTAATAAAACAACTCTTTTACTTTTGTAAACTCTAAAAATAGATCAAACCAAAACTACTTTAAGAGCAAAAATGTTGAAGATTAGCTGATATTCTGTTGATCCCTAAAATGAAAGACACCCATCTTGTGTCCTTGTCTGCACATCAGAAAAATCTTGTGTGTAGGCTTGCCTCTCATATGCTATAATTTGTTCTGAAACAGATGAGGTGTTTGGCACTGACTTTGCAGTTAGAAATGACTGGGTTTATCAGTTCAAGAGCAAGAGCAGGATCATCTGCAGTCCAGCAGAGGGCATTAGAAAATCACAGAACAGGGCTCACAAACTAAAACACCAAAGGGGGAGTGTGCAGATGGGCAGAGAAAATTCCTACTTTTCACAGAGGATGGAGCTGATATGGTGTAAACGGGGCAGACGAAGTGGACAAAGAGCTCCTGCGCTGCTCTCAGGCCTCCAGAGCCACAAGAACAGCCTGTGACCATTGCTGGAAAACTCCATCAGAGCCATCATGAAGTTCTGGCTTTTCTTTACACTGGCTCTGCTCTGGCTGGAGGTCCAAAATGGTGAGCAGATCTCTCTTTGTTTCTTCTAGCATGTTATTCTTCCATCAAGACATTAAATGTTGTCAAAGAACATCGTTGTTCATTTACTCTAACCGAGAGATGTTATGATGAAAGTGTGCCAGTGGTGCCAAACGGACGCCAAAAATCCAGCGTAGAAAGAGGGGAAGGAATCAAATCAGGGAGCAGTTTTATATTAAAAGAAAGAATGTAATCAGTAACAACAAAGCAACAATATCGGCTTTTCATCCAAACATGAACAAGGAATCAGAAAAAGTTCTCTATGACTCTTGCATGTTGTATAATTGAATTCATAATGAAATCATATTTCAGATTTTTGCAAAGACAACAAGAAAGGCATATTTTCTGCATTGCTGTTTGTACAGCTGTGAGCTCAACTGTAGAGAGTAGATTTCCAGATGGCAAAGCCCTCTTTTGCTTGCTCCCCTTCACTCTTTTCTTTGGCTTGGTCATAGAGGAGTCATTTGTCAGTTAAAAGGAACATCTATAATGTGAAAATAAAGCCAAACCTGTAACTTTGGTTAGGGATTTTCTGCAACCATGTGGAAAAACACAGTGTTCAGATTTTGTCCTCCAAGTGAAATTACGTAGGAAAGTGTCTGACATTAAATCACTGCCCCTTAAGAATACTGTAGAATGCCTGTTTTTTCCAAACTTTTTAAGTTTATACTCCTTTTTGTTCAACAAAAGAAAGAAACTTGACAGGTTTAGAAAAAGAATAGAGGATGAGTAAATGATGACTCTTTATTTTTGGGTGAACTGTCTCTTTAATATTTAATAATGGTTCCAATGTGCTTTCTGAATGTGCTTCTATAAAGTTGTGCATGTAACATACCAGTCTTCCATCCTAATGTAAAGCAAAGCTTTCAAAGTTTCTTTATAAAAAAATTAAAATAAAATAAATCCCAAATGCTAATTAGATGCATTTTCATCGAGTTGTTAAAGTCCCCAAGAAATCAAAATTAATCATATGATTTCATAAGCTTAAATTGCTGATTTTGTAGATAATAATGTGCTTATCATTAAGAAAAAATAAATAAAATGTTTACCCTTTCTAATTTTTAATTGAAATCTGAAATTGCACTTCCTGTTTGTTTCCAGTTAATTTATCAGATGATGTGATTTTGAGGTAATGGGCGTGGCTAACGCTGCTCCAACTGTCAGTTTTGACAACAAACAGAAATGGTGAGGAGAAGCAGTCAGTAAGGTTGTAATAAGTCTTCTAAAACTCCTTTCCCAATCTCTCTGAATGAAATGCCTACTTTACTAAATCCATTCGGCCTGCGGTTTTTACAATCCTTTTTGCTGAAATAATAAAAGAAAAACTCCACAATGATGTTATCAAGACTTACAGAGAAAGGGGAAAAATAGTGTGAGACGGTAACCAGAGGAGAGAATAACGTCAAATTTACTCTCAGCCCCATAGATGCTGCATTACAAACACCTAAGCTGTGATTCGTTTTTTGCAATTTGACGCAAAGATGATATAATACATTCATAAATGCAATTAAATGTTCATACATTAAAAAAAATCTAAATATTAAGAACTTCAAAGGAATTAAGTTTATGATGACCGTTAAACACATCATGACAGTCTTGTGAAAAGAGTCCATGGAGACAGCCGATTAGTCACATGGGTGTAATGTTTGCTATGTCAGAGTTTATTTGGCAAAGGCATTCTCATCTTCCTTTATTCACATGAGCCTATATTCAGCATAAAACTTTTTTCCAAATTAAGGGATTTTTATTTGAAATTTTGTCATTTTCATCACTCGCTCATGCGATACTCCAAAATGTGCATTAACATGGGGTGATGGAAACCCAGCTATAGTCTTTAACTCAATTCACACATAACAGAGCTATGAGATTAGATTTATTCTGAAAAAGCTCACAGACATAGCAATAAAAGTGCCTAATTGATATATTTATTTATTTTTTCGGCTTAGTCCCTAATTTAATCGTGTGTCGCCACAGCAGAATTAACCGCCAACTTATCCAGCATGTGATTTATGCAGCGGATGCCCTTACAGCTGCAACCCATCACTGGAAAACACCCATATACTCTCATTCACACACATACACTACGGACAATTAAGCTCACCTAATTCACCTATACCATGTGGGACGAAACCCGCACGAACACCGTAAGAACATGCAAACTCCACACAGAATTGCTAATTGCTCCAGCCGAGGCTTAAACCAGCCACCCACTGTGCCACAGTGACACCAGCTTACTGAATAAAAAAAACACTTAATACGAACTATATAGCCAAGTGACAGTCTTTGCATTTAAAGGGACATGCACATAAAATGTGTATTATCTCACACTCAAATAGGGGGCAAATTTGACAATGTGATAAATAATACGGATGGACATTTTGAGATGAAACATCACA